ACAAAGATGGTGTTGTTACGCATATAAAATTAAAGTTTATGTTTTACAGATGCGGGTTTTTATGTTTTAGACACGTTCGTATGCTCAACATCTGGTCATAAATGGGGGAAAATCTTTTTAGTTAATAGTAATATATAATCGTTCTTATTGTCCTTTTGTCAAAGCAATTTCATACACAGTTTCTTATTCCGTATAGTGTGATATTTTGTTGTAATTAATGATTTAGGATAAGGCATGATAAGGATTTATGACAAAATCAATGCTTTAAAACAAAAATCTAAAAAGTTACAGTTTACCAAGTCGAAAACTGGAGTCATGGGCTCGCTGGACTTGTCCTGTACTGGCTATTGACGGAGTTTGTCCAGGCTACACATGGTGGCTGCTACTTGAAACAAAACTGTTAGAAGAAAATGTTGGTTAAAGGAAAATGTGTTGTTGCCGTCTCAACATGATTATGATGAACTCCTCAAAGTCATGGCTTACTTCAGAATTGTACGAATATGACACCAAGATATGTAGACACATTCATATAAAATGAACTATGATATTGGATCTGGTGTGTTTTACGATAAACTTCATAGGTAAAAAAGCAGAAAGAGGAATAACGATTTTATCACACGCAATTTAGTATAGGTCAGGAAGTGTTATCCTTTTAAAAATAATAGAACAGAGCTTAAACTGAAAAACACATAGACTAACAAGGACTGGCGAAAAAGTGGGGTAAAATTGACTTGCCCTGTTAATGAATTATTTGTTTTTAGATACCCAAATAGAAAAACAGAAAAAGGAGCAAGGACTGGAGCAAAATTGGGTTAAATTGATTTGGCCCTCTTAATGAATTATTTGTTGTTAGATCCCCAAAAGAATTGTAGGAGATCTGACTCCCTACTCTAGACTCCAATCGACCAAAAGGATATTTCGCTGATAAAACCCAGTTTGTCATGGAACCCATTTACCTTTTTGTATGAGACCCCTGAATTCTGGAATAATAGCAAGGTATTCCCAGTTTGTCATACCACCTATTTCAATTTTTGTCTGAGATCCTGTACTCAAGGACAATGGGTAACTAACTAACTAACTACTAACTAACTACTAACTAACTAACTACTAACTAACTAACTAACTAACCTAACTAACTAACTAACTAACTAACTAACTAACTAACTAACTAACTAACTAACTAACTAACTAACTAACTAACTAACTAACTAACTAACTAACTAACTAACTAACTAACTAACTAACTAACTAACTAACTAACTAACTAACTAACTACTAACTAACTAACTAACTAACTAACTAACTAACTAACTAACTAACTAACTAACTAACTAACTAACTAACTAACTAACTAACTAACTAACTAACTAACTAACTAACTAACTAACTAACTAACTAACTAACTAACTACTAACTAACTAACTAACTAACTAACTAACTAACTAACTAACTAACTAACTAACTAACTAACTAACTAACTAACTAACTAACTAACTAACTAACTAACTAACTAACTAACTAACTAACTAACTAACTAACTAACTAACTACTAACTAACTAACTAACTAACTAACTAACTAACTAACTAACTACTAACTAACTAACTAACTAACTAACTAACTAACTAACTAACTAACTAACTAACTAACTAACTAACTAACTAAACTAACTAACTAACTAACTAACTAACTAACTAACTAACTAACTAACTAACTAACTAACTAACTAACTAACTAACTAACTAACTAACTAACTAACTAACTAACTAACTAACTAACTAACTAACTAACTAACTAACTAACTACTAACTACTAACTAACTAACTAACTAACTAACTAACTAACTAACTAACTAACTACTACTAACTACTAACTAACTAACTAACTAACTAACTAACTAACTAACTAACTAACTACTAACTAACTAACTAACTAACTAACTAACTAACTAACTAACTACTAACTAACTAACTAACTAACTAACTAACTAACTAACTAACTAACTAACTAACTAACTAACTAACTACTAACTAACTAACTAACTAACTAACTAACTAACTAACTAACTAACTAACTAACTAACTAACTAACTAACTAACTAACTAACTAACTAACTAACTACTAACTAACTAACTAACTAACTAACTAACTAACTAACTAACTAACTAACTAACTAACTAACTAACTAACTACTACTAACTAACTAACTAACTACTAACTAACTAACTAACTAACTAACTAACTAACTAACTAACTAACTAACTAACTAACTAACTAACTAACTAACTAACTAACTAACTAACTAACTAACTACTAACTAACTAACTAACTAACTAACTAACTAACTAACTAACTAACTAACTAACTAACTAACTAACTAACTAACTAACTAACTAACTAACTAACTAACTAACTAACTAACTAACTAACTAACTAACTAACTAACTAACTAACTAACTCATGCCGTGACTACAGACGAGACTATTATCGAGAATAGTTAAAACAATTAGTCACAGTTCAATATATAGAGCTGATTATGTTCGAGGCTATAGGCCAGATTGAAGTCCAGACTTAAGATCAAACTACAAGCCACACTTTAGACCAATGGTTGCAAAACAAATCTTAATCGTTGTCGATATATTTCAATATATAGAGCAGATTGCTTTCGAGACTATGAGTCAGACAGCAGTCGACATTGTAGACTACAAGATAGTCTACATGATAGGCCAGGATACAGTCGAGACTACAAGACTACAACACAAACTATAAATCTGAATTTCTAGTTTGTAAAAGAAGAGCGAAGGACATTTTGGTAAGAAAATAAAAATATTTTAAGTTAATACTATGGGTTTCAGTTTAAAAAAGACCCAAAAATATTGAAAAATTACTTTTTTAAACAAGTTCGTAGGACCAATGGTTAAAAAAAAATATTTAAATTTTTAAGATTTTCAAAGAATTTCTACATATTTCTACATATTAAGTCCAAAATTTTAAGATTTTTATAACCTGTTCTCACTGTAAGGCCAAGATATAATAGAACTGGTTTCTTGAATAGGTACGAAGGACCATTTGTTGAAAATTTTTAAATTTTCGAAAGATCTGAACACTTCATTTTAAAAAGTTCAAGATTTTCAATATTCTTTAGCTTTACAAACCATACAATATAATAAAACTAGTTTGTAAGTAGAGCTCGAAGGACCATTTGTTACAAAAATATTAAATTTCGTAAGAAACAAATAGAATTTGTGAGCAACGAACCAAAATTTACTATTGCTTAAATACATAGTTTTTTTCTATATCTAACATTTCCCAGATTCCATTAAGTAAATTAAAGAAAAATGTTTTTCTATATTTATATATGTTTTATTATAACAAAACTTCAATATATTTAATATTTATTTGGTTGTATTTTTGTATGTGTTTTTTATATATTTTGTGTAATGTATTAACTTTAAATATAAAATATATTTAAACTTAACTTAATAAGAATATATAATAAAATAATTTACAAACTAATAACTTTGGCACCCTTAAATTTAAAAAAAAAAAAAAAAAAAAAATATTTATAGATAAAAATGTAATGAAAAATGTCTTTTTTTTTCTTTTTCTTTTTTAAGAAAATTAAATTAAATTTTAGTAAATTAAGGAAAAATCTAAAAAAAAAAAATACTTTTAATCCTTTAGCTGGTATAAAACTTTAGAAAAATAAGGAATTCAAAATGTTTTTTAAGTTTATAATAAAAAAAGAAATAATTTTATAAATGAATTAAGAATTAAGGTTTAAGAAACGAGTATGAGAGTTAAAGTTAGGTTGCCCGAAAAAATATAAAAATATTTAATTAAGAACTCAAGGCAATATTTTAAGATAAATGTTTAGATATAAAATATTCTTTTACTCAAATTCTGTTTTATATAAAAAATTAAATAAATTAAAAACTAATTACTTATAAAAACTAAAATATACTTTTAACACAAATTCACAAATTATTCATGTTTTAACTTATTTGAGGAAAAAAAATTAGAAAAATAATTTTTATAATAATCTCTAAAGGTTAAAAAATCCCTTTTGTTTTTAAACCAGTTTAAAAAAAAGAATTCTTGTTTGGAAAAAAAATAAAATCACAAAGAAAATCTATAAAACATATGGCACTTTTTCTTGTTCATTTAAAAAAAAAAAAATTTGGCATTAAGCTGCATCCTCTGCTCTCAACTCATTTGCTGTCATTTTGCCCTGCCCCATTAAGCCCTGCATTATTGACTGTTTGAGTCATTTGGGTTTGCACCAATAACATGAGTATTTTATTCATTAAATTATCGGCCTCAGAATCTTCCATACTATTCAGTTTGGCCGATATGAAACCACAAAATTTCGAATTTAAAACTTCACGCACCGTTTGTGGTGGTGGCATCATATCACCCATACCGCCTATAAGACCAGCAGCGGCTTGATTTTGTTGATTTCTTAAATGGCGATGTTGTTGCAACATCTGACCCTCATAGTCATCTTCATCCTCATCGTCTTCTTCCTCCTCGCCTGTACTCTGTAAATGTTTACGTCTTCGTTTGCTGGCAGGACCATTAGCACTGGTAGAGGGTGATGTAGAGTTTAATATCAAGGGATAGGGGAAATCAGCATCTATGGCCTCTAATTCTTCCACCTCATCGGAACCCTGATGACTTAAGGCGGTATTGCGTACCGAGGAATTTTCATCTTCACCACTGCGCATAGAAGAATTATCCAAATCATCATAGGTATTATTCTGATTACTAGAATCATTGCGTGTTGAGGAAACACGACTGTCATTGTGTTGAGAATTTTGATGAGCAGGGGGTGCATTATTAGCTGCACCACCACCTCCGCCATTTACTACAGCAGTATTGGCATTAGGATTAGTATTTTGATTGGATAGATCCAATTCTGGTTTAACGAAATAATAATAATCATCACCGCTTACATTGAGTGAAGAGGAACATTTGGAGAGATTTAAAGCTGAATCATTAAGGAAGAGTGTAAGGAATTATGTTTGTAATTGGTTTTTGTGGAGTTATTATTGTTGTTATTGCTATTAGTGAGATTATTGTTAACGGTAGTGGTCATGTGATGTGCCAAGGCACTGAGATTGAGACCCAAAGGACCACTGTGTTCTGCAGCATGGGAACCACCTCTGTAAAGACAAGAAAGAAAAACAAATTATTAATAACAGAAGATATTTAATTACGGTCTTCAACTATTGTAAAGCCAAGAGAAGTAAAGAACTAGAACTGAACTAGAACTGAACTAGAACTGAACTAGAACTAGAACTGAACTAGAACTGAACTAGAACTGAACTAGAACTGAACTAGAACTGAACTAGAACTGAACTAGAACTGAACTAGAACTGAACTAGAACTGAACTAGAACTGAACTAGAACTGAACTAGAACTGAACTAGAACTGAACTAGAACTGAACTAGAACTGAACTAGAACTGAACTAGAACTGAACTAGAACTGAACTAGAACTGAACTAGAACTGAACTAGAACTGAACTAGAACTGAACTAGAACTGAACTAGAACTGAACTAGAACTGAACTAGAACTGAACTAGAACTGAACTAGAACTGAACTAGAACTGAACTAGAACTGAACTAGAACTGAACTAGAACTGAACTAGCACTAGAACTGAACTAGCACTAGAACTAAACTAGCACTAGAACTGAACTAGCACTAGAAACTAGAACTAGAACTACTAGAACTGAACTAGAACTGAACTAGAACTGAACTAGAACTGAACTAGAACGGAACTAGAACTGAACTAGAACTGAACTAGAACTGAACTAGAACTGAACTAGAACTGAACTAGAACTGAACTAGAACTGAAATAGAACTGAACTAGAACTGAACTAGAACTGAACTAGAACTGAACTAGAACTGAACTAGAACTGAACTAGAACTGAACTAGAACTGAACTAGAACTGAACTAGAACTGAACTAGAACTAGAGCTGAACTAGAACTGAACTAGAACTGAACTAGATGAACTATGAACTGAACTAGAAACTGAACTAGAACTGCACTAGAACTGAACTAGAACTGAACTAGAACTGAACTAGAACTGAACTAGAACTGAACTAGAACTGAACTAGAACTGAACTAGAACTGAACTAGAACTGAACTAGAACTGAACTAGAACTGAACTAGAACTGAACTAGAACTGAACTAGAACTGAACTAGAACTGAACTAGAACTGAACTAGAACTGAACTAGAACTGAACTAGAACTGAACTAGAACTGAACTAGAATGAACTAGAACTGAACTAGAACTGAACTAGAACTGAACTAGAACTGAACTAGAACTGAACTAGAACTGAACTAGAACTGAACTAGAACTGAACTAGAAACTGAACTAGACTGAACTAGACTGAACTAGAACTGGAACTAGAAACTGAACTAGAACTGAACTAGAACTGAACTAGAACTGAACTGAACTAGCTCTGAACTAGAACTGAACTGAACTGAACTAGAACTGAACTAGAACTGAACTAGAACTGAACTAGAACTGAACTAGAACTGAACTAGAAACTGAACTAGAACTGAACTAGAACTGAACTAGAACTGAACTAGAACTGAACTAGACCTGAATTAGAACTGAACTAGAACTGAACTGAACTAGAATTAAATTAGAACTGAAATATATCTAAAAGAAAAATATAACAGAACTACAGCTGGACTATATCTTTAGCTGAACTAGAACATTTTTACCAAAGCTGTGCTCAAAAATTTTAAAAAGAAAACTTAATTTTTAGTGGAAGAAGAAGTTGCATGAGGTTGGGTTTATGGGCCTTAAAATTTTTTGACCAACAGATCTCTTAAAAATCTAGTTCTTAATTTTGAACTCAATAATTTTTCAAAATTATTTTCTAAACTATAAATAGTTCACTTAATCTTAAAACTAGTAAATTTTTTTACGTTTGTCTTTTAAGAAAACTTACAAATCCCCTGAGTAGTGTAATAAACAAGAAAAATGTAACAATTTTAAAATTTTTCAAAAATTTTCCCAGGATTCTCCTACAAACTATAAAACACCCTCCCTCAACATTCATTCATTTATTTTAGTTCAAACAGTTCCCTTATTATTTCATTAATTTTGTTATAAATATCAAATTTCAAGTAATTTTCTTTTGTTTGCGCTAGAGTAATAGAAAGCAGCAAGCAAAAACTAGAGCTCCAATAAGTACTAAAAGGCACGCATGCGTCTTAACAAAAAACCCATAAAAACTCGTAGACATTTTCAAACATTTCAAGATTTTAAATCTAAAATATATGTTATTCTCAAGAGTTCTCTGATTACAAGCACTTATGTGTGTGTTTGTGTCTGCGTTTTCAAAACAAACATTTGTAGAGCAGATGTGGGTTTTAAAAATAAAGATTTTTTTTAAATGTTTGAACACAAAAAACATACAAAACACATGTACAAATAGATCCTGTGTGCTTGGCCACAAAATAAATTTTCGAATTTGGTTGCCAGTTAACAGGAAATAGCAAGAATAAGAAATATGCAAACACAAAGTGTTTGTTACAGAAATATGTCTTTAGGCCAAGTAGACATTTTTATTGGAGTTAAAGAGAAAGCACCAAATCAACTGTACTTCAGAATTTTAAACACAATGGGACTTTGTTTTTAAATTTACAGGACTGAACTAGCTGAACTAGAACTAGAACTGAAACTAGAACTGAACTAGAACTGAACTAGAACTGAACTAGAACTGAACTAGAACTGAACTAGAACTGAACTAGAACTGAACTAGAACTGAACTAGAACTGAACTAGAACTGAACTAGAACTGAACTAGAACTGAACTAGAACTGAACTAGAACTGAACTAGAACTGAACTAGAACTGAACTAGAACTGAACTAGAACTGAACTAGAACTGAACTAGAACTGAACTAGAACTGAACTAGAACTGAACTAGAACTGAACTAAACTGACTAGACTGAACTAGAACTGAACTAGAACTGAACTAGAACTGAACTAGAACTGAACTAGAACTGAACTAGAACTGAACTAGAACTGAACTAGAACTGAACTAGAACTGAACTAGAACTGAACTAGAACTGAACTAGAACTGAACTAGAACTGAACTAGAACTGAACTAGAACTGAACTAGAACTGAACTAGAACTGAACTAGAACTGAACTAGAACTGAACTAGAACTGAACTAGAACTGAACTAGAACTGAACTAGAACTGAACTAGAACTGAACTAGAACTGAACTAGAACTGAACTAGAACTGAACTAGAACTGAACTAGAACTGAACTAGAACTGAACTAGAACTGAACTAGAACTGAACTAGAACTGAACTAGAACTGAACTAGAACTGAACTAGAACTGAACTAGAATTGAACTAGAACTGAACTAGAACTGAACTAGAACTGAACTAGACTGAACTAGAACGACTAGAACTGAACTAGAACAGAACCAGAACTGAACTAGAACTAGAACCAGAACTGAACTAGAACTGAACTAGAACTGAACTAGAACTGAACTAGAACTGAACTAGAATTGAAACTAGAACTGAACTAGAACTGAACTAGAAACTGAACTAGAACTGAACTAGAACTGAACTAGAACTGAACTAGAACTGAACTAGAACTGAACTAGAACTGAACTAGAACTGAACTAGAACTGAACTAGAACTGAACTAGAACTGAACTAGAACTGACTAACTGAACTTGAACTGAATTAGAACTGAACTAGAACTGAACTAGAACTGAACTAGAACTGAACCAGAACTGAACTAGAACTGAACTAGTACTGAACTAGAACTGAACTAGAACTAGAACTGAACTAGAACTGAACTAGAACTGAACTTGAACTGAACTAGAACTGAACTAGAACTGAACTAGAACTGAACTAGAACTGAACCAGAACTGAACTAGTACTGAACTAGAACTGAACTAGAACTGAACTAGAACTGAACTAGTACTGAACTAGAACTGAACTAGAACTGAACTAGAACTGAACTAGAACTGAACTAGAACTGAACTAGAACTGAACTAGAACTGAACTAGAACTGAACTAGAACTGAACTAGAACTGAACTAGAACTGAACTAGAACTGAACTAGAACTGAACTAGAACTGAACTAGAACTGAACCAGAACTGAACTAGTACTGAACTAGAACTGAACTAGAACTGAACTAGAACTGAACTAGTACTGAACTAGAACTGAACTAGAACTGAACTAGAACTGAACTTGAACTGAACTAGAACTAGAACTGAACTGATAATATAATAATATACTAGAACTGAGCTAGAACTGAACTAGAACTGAACTAGAACTGAACTAGAACTGAACTAGAACTGAACTAGAACTGAACTAGAACTGAACTAGAACTGAACTAGAACTGAACTAGAACTGAACTAGAACTGAACTAGAACTGAACTAGAACTGAACTAGAACTGAACTTGAACTGAACTAGAACTGAACTAGAACTGAACTAGAACTGAACTAGAACTGAACTAGAACTGAACTAGAACTGAACTAGAACTGAACTAGTACTGAACTAGAACTGAACTAGAACTGAACTAGAACTGAACTAGAACTAAACTAGAGCTCAACTAGGACTGAACTAGAATATAACTATAACTGAATATACAATATAACTAGAAGTGGGCTTAATCTGAACTAAAGTGGTTTCTCTAAATACGTTTTAAAGATTGTCAAATACATATTATAAAAAATAATCAAGATGTATCATTGAACAGAATACTGTAGTTATTAACTAAATTAATTCAATATAAAACCCTCCCTATTTAGTTAGTTGTGAATCACGGCCGTTTTTTTTTTACAAAGAGAATAATTTGTAAATTGTATTTAATTCACACTATATTTGCATTATTACTGTTAGTTGTTTTTCAATTACGAATCTTAAAATTAAATTTGTATTTCAACTTATATGTTGTATTCCGATTTTATGGTATCAATACAAAAGTTCATATTTGCCTGGTATTTACACATTCTCACTCAAACACACACACACATTCACTGGACAGACGGACCAATACGCGATTACCATATTGTCAAGTTTTAATTATTTAAACAAGGTTTTTATAAATTTGTTGTCTACATACATACATGTGTACATATTTGTATAAAGTAAAAATCAACGTCCATAATCGAAAAAAG